TTCATTACTGAAAGCAGCATCTAGATACAGGTCTCAACAGTAATTTCTGTGTAGTAGTCAGGGCGGGCCAAGAACATCACTGCATCTAACTATCTTCCACTTACATTGCACTTGAAGAACTGTAGCTCAGAAAGATGTTGAGACATTTATATTTGTGCATGTCCCTGTGAACAAATTTAGCAGAAAAAAGTCAACTGAATCTTGGTGAAAAACACCAAAAACTGAACTGAATCTATCAAGCTTTTCTCCAGGGAACCTTCTTCCTTCAGGCTTGTTTTTTTTTTTTTTTTTTTTTTTCAAGCTACAGTTGCTCATGTTTGCTCTGGCAACAGTGTCTCTTCCTCAGTCTTACTGTTTAGCCCCTTTCACACTTTTCATTGAACAAATCATCTCCATCCCAAGAAAATGTAAGAAATTGCCTGTTGATTGGCAGTAGTGAATTTAGTTATATGTTGTATAAATAAAGCATTTGAAAATTTATTATGTATGCTCTTACCGGTCTTAAGAACTAAGTCATAATTTAAGAAACGACTGCTCTTGCAGAGGACCCGGGTTCGATTCCCAGCACTCAAATGGTGGCTATGAACCATCCTTAACTACAGTTCCAGGGGAATCTGATGCCCTCTTCTGACCTCCAAGGCACTGCACGACACAGGCGCACTCACATACATACAGGCAATACACTCACCAATACACACATCAAATAAAAAATATTAAAAAAGAAATGAATTACAAATTATCTTTCATCACTCTCCCTGTGTATAACCCTCCTCCCCTCCATCCAGTTAAAGCATCCCTCCATTTTTCCCATTTCCCTCTTGATAGCACCTGTCCTAATATCCCCCTCTCTGAGTTCCCCCTTCTCCTCTGCCCCGATGGTCCCTTTCTACTTTACTGGCTCCTGTGGTTACTTCAGGGTATATATTCACATCTAAAGATCTGGAACTAGGATTCACGAATGAGAGAACATCATTGCATTCTTATTTTTCTGAGTCTGGGTCTTTCACTCAGTACAGATTTCCAGTCCCATCCGTTTGCCTGCCAATTTCATAATTTCATTTTACGGCTGCCATTATAAAGTATGATATGTATCAGATTTTCATTATCCATTTATCAGTTGAGGGGTATTTAGGAGGTTGTTTCCATTTCCTAGCCATTGTGAAAAGAGCAGTAATGACATGGAAGGAGAATTCATTTTCTCTGGGGGCAAGCTCCATGACGGGTATTTTATCCCAAGTGGTCAGGTCAGCTCTATACATATGTACATAGAAGCAGCACTAAACGGACTCAGTGTATTATACATGTATAATCAAAGAGGTCAAGAAATTGAGAGGGAGTGGGGAGGACATGGGAGGAGGTGGAGGAGGGAGAGGAGTGGAAATGATGCACATACAGTACTTGTGTATGAAGTTCTCAAAAAATATTTTAAAAAAGAAATGAATTATAGCAAGTAAACACTAGGTTCTTCAGTAGTATTAGAACTGACACTCAAGTATGTATGTAGTTACGCCATTTTGACCTATGCAATAAGAGGTGGAACATGAATTGATTATATATGACACATAAGCCTCTTCTTTTAGATTGGAGAAATAAAATAGATTCTTTGTAGCATCACTAGTCTCAACTTTCGAGGCAAAACAAAGCCATCCGAAATCAGTATGAACTTGAGGTGTAGAAAGAACTTTAGGGAGTGCTCACAACCTATGCTTAATGTCGATGTGGAGATGATCATTAGAAAAATGGCATCCTTTGTGTTTACAAAACAAATGTTTTTATATTATCCAGTTCCTGCCTTCACTTAAAAGTTGTGACTATTCACCTTAATAATTAGAGCAGAAGGATCTGATGAATGAAGTGCCTCATTACCAAGTTTACTTCCTGGGTCTCTGCAGAGAGTAGCTGTCTGTTTTTGTTGAGTTAGCCCATTGTTAACCCTAAGTAATCCTGACATTCAATTCTCCTGCAGATAATTGAGTCCATCCATAGATTGAGTTCTTTACTGAACACAATCTTTTGATTGACATGCTGCTTGATGTTTTTATTATTTCTTATGACTGGAATGGAGCCTTTTCTATTTCATGAATAAAATGTTACTGCACATGTAATTAGTTTGATTCTATAGAACCTATTTCTTCAGGAGACATAAGAACTATACTATGGAGTAAGGACTCATCAAAAATAATTATAGGATGCACAAATGACCAGTTTCAGAAGCAATTTTCACTTTAGATGTATTTTGTTTTTTAGGTCACTGTTTATTTCCCTGTTGCTTTACAAAAAAAATGTTTTTTTTTTTTTTTTTTTTTTTTTCTTTTGGTCTTTTTGAGACAGGGTCTCCCTGTAGCCCCAGCTGTCCTGGAACTCACTATGTAGACCAGGATGCCTTGAACTCACAGAGATCTGCCGGCCTCTGCCTCCCAAGTGCTTTCTAGTCCCTGGGTAGGACATTGTTTTAGTCACTCTCATGTGTTCAGTAGTTTCCAGCTTTAAACATTGACTGGCTTTGTCTTCCACAGCAACTGAGATCCATTATGTGGGAATCTCCCATGGAGTCTGAACCCTCCATTTATAGCCAGCATGGACACTTACAGCTGTATGTACTCGGGGAAGCTACTTAACTTTCAGAGCCTTTGAGTTTCTTATTCATAGAGTAAGGAAAGTTTTTGTATCTCATGGACTTGTTTTGGAGAGTAATGGAGAACATGCATCATAATAAAGATCGGGGAAATATTTCCTGCAATTAATTTCAGTTAAGTCAAAACTGATATACATGTAACTTAAAATGCTGATTTTAAAAAATTCCCACTATTTATGAAATACATATGGATCTCAGATGGAAATCACTTAAAAACATGAAAGCTTAAAGTTATGAAGGTTTGCTGTCACTTTTAGACCATTCTTAGCTTCTTTAAAAATCTGAATTTATGAGTAAAGCAACATGTCACCTGAGCCATAAAATGTGAAGTCATTTCCAGATATAGCCTTGGTCAACTTCCTAAAGAGAAAATATCTGAATGTAACTTTTCAATAACTTATACACAAAATTAAAGTCAAACCTGTGTCTTTATTGAAATTTTGTTTTTATTTTTTGTATGGGAGTGTATTGCCTGCATGTATGTAAATACACTCGTGTCATGCAATGCCTGTGGAGGTCAGAAGAGGTGTCAAATTCCCTTGGAACTGAAGTTACAGTTAGCCACCATTTGGGTGCTGGAAATCGAACTCTAGTCCTCTGCAAGAGTAGGTCTCTTAACTGCTAAGCCATTTCTCCAGCTCCAAAGTCTGTTTTTTTTTTTTGTTGTTGTTGTTGTTAAATTTTATGTGTATGATTGTATTTCCCTCACGTTGGTAAGGGCACCCATGTCATGCAATGCCTGCAGAGGACAGAAGAGGCCATGGATCCCCTGGAACTGGAGTTACGGACAGCTGTTAGCTGCCATGTGGGTGCTGGGATTTGAACCTGGGTCTTCTGCAAGAAAAACCAGTGTTCTTAACTGCTGAGCCACCTCTCCAGCCCCCCAAGTCTGTGTTCTTGAGTCAGAAACCCTGCCTGAAATTTCAAAAGTATCAAGTGTTAGCCCTTTGAAAGTATTTATTTCAGTTAAAGTACACATTTTATACCATAAATTTACAATGTAAAAAATTCTGTGGTTTAAATTTCTTACAGTTTAACTTGATTTTTAGGGGGCTGGGGAGACGGCTTAGCGGTTAAAGGGTTAAAGCACTAGCTATGCAAACACAAGGACTGAAGCTCAGATCTCTAGCACCCACATAAATGCTGTTGGGTAGGTGTGGCAGCCACCTGTGATTCTAGGGCTGGAAGGTGGAGACATGGCATCCATCCATCCATCCATCCATCCATCCATCCATGCCCAGCATGCATCCATGTCAAACAAATTTTGATTTTTATTCTAGCTTTGCAAATCATATTTGCAATATAGTTTTAATATTGCAAACATCTTGATCCACAATATAGTGCTGAATCAATAATTAAGAAATACATTTCAATCAATGGTGATAATATTTAGGTATAGAAAATGGTGTCAAATTGCTACTTGTTTAACTAGAGGACATGTGATAGAATCCAGTAATTTCAGATGATAAAGAAAAGCAGTTTCTTACTAAGAAAACATATGGTGTCATAAATCAAGTGGATGCAGGCACCTTATTTTCTGTGGGATTAGTAGGATCTTTTACTTGAGGATACTTTACCTCAGGCTGTTTCTTCTTTGAGGGTGTGGTAAAGACATTTTACCAGTATCTTCATGAAAACTCTCATCTTACACTGACAACTAGATAATGGAAGAAAGGCTTTGAGCAGAGCAGCTTTTCTGGGCACGTGCCTCATCTGTTTCTGTGTTCAGTAGGTACAATATAAAAATAACCCTTTAAATTTTCGTATGAACATGAAGATCTTAGAAAATGCTCAGCTCCTCCAAAGTACTTTTCTATTTGTTTAAAAATATTTCTACAATGAGCCAGAGAGATGGCTCAGCAGTTAAGAGCACTGACTGCTCTTGCAGAGGACCTGGGTTCAATTCCCAGCACCCATATGGTGACCAATAACCATCCTTAGTTCCAGGGGAATCTGATGCCCTCTTCTGACCTCTGATGCACTGCATGACATGGGTGCACCCAAATACATGCAGGCAATACACTCACACACATAAAATAAAAATAAAACATTAAAAAATTTCTATAACTTGCCAAGTTCTTTGTGATGAATTTTAAGACCAAACAAGAAAATCAACATGCATCTCAAAATCATGAGCTGATCCACGTGAGTGCAGTGGGCAAGGGCTCACCTGGAATTCTAGTCCTGGGAGAGGGAAGACAAGGATCCCTATCTGCAAGCTTGAGGTTTGACCCAGAGACCCTGTCTCAATAAGTAAAATGTAAGAGCAATCTGGGCAGATCCTTGACATCAACCTTGGGCCTCCACACTCATACACACATGTGTGCATGCACACATGTAAATAAGAAAAACTCATGAGCTGAAATGATAGAGACATTTGTCTTTATTTTTTTTACTTATTAAGCACACTCACAAGACAAAAAAACCAAGCATATAGAGGGTGACTTTGCTGCCTGGGCCCAGATGTACCTGGAGCACAGACGTACACAATCAGAACACTGCCAGCTTGGCTCTGGCGGAACAGGCTTCTGCACTGAGGGCCATGGGCTTTAGCAGTCATCAGTGCTCCTTGACACTTTTGAAAATGCCTTCAGTAACAGTAACACCATTCTCCACAGCAGGGCCATGTTTACCATTTTTATGTTTCTACAACATGTGCAGGGTAAAAGCCAAATATATTTCTACTAGAAGCTATTTCACATCGGGTATACATCTGGACAAATTTACACCTCAGTGCCCAACATGGTGTTTCTCACTTCTTATTTCAATGGAATTGACTCTCTACTTTGGTAAATAAGTCTTTCTTACTTTAACATTTGACCTGTTGGGGCTAAATATTTTATTGACAGACTTACATATAGTTGACGAAAGCGAAGAGTCGAGAAAAAAAACAAAAAACCAAAGGATGAATTTCTCTGTTAAAGTTCAAAACACATGGTCATATGGTAATGACATTGTTATTCTGGTACTAGAGAAATAAATAGTGCTGTGTAATAACAAAAATAAATATTAAGACCAAAATAAATATTAAATAATTTATATCTGTAAATTACTCATATGCTAAATATGAACTGCCCTTTAAAAAAAAAGTAAATAAATTTGGCATACTATTGCCTGTCCACCCAAAAATCACTTTTAAGTTTAGGTGTGCTGAGTTACACATATAAGTCACTCAAAAGCAACACAAAAATTTAATTTTAAAAAGCAAATTGTTTCTTTTTACTGCCTTTGTTATTGGGACCAATTTGTACACACAATATTCAGAAGCTGCTTATCTTTAAATAAAATTAAGTTTCAAAAGCAGACTCTTCATATTCTGAGCATAGCATCACACATACAACCACATCACAGATACAATAATATTGGATGATTATTTAACAGACGCCCTAACAATGCGAACACTTTATTCATGTTTGCTGAGTAGCAATTATGGGTTTTTCTTTATTGGTTTTTCCAACAATGGCAATTTAATTTTGATACAGTCACTAATAACACAAACACCAATACTCTGACCAACAATAGTCACAATGGTTTATAACAATTAAGCTCAGAGACCACACTGACTTTTTCTCCAGCCAAACCTCATTTCATAAAGACAAAAAATTGTGGATATTTCTTTTCTTCCTTAAATCTGAAAATTCCAAACTCTAGTTATTTCTGTATATCTGGTTACTTCTTCATTCTTCTCCAACTTTTTACTAGGAAGAAAAGAATACAAAATATAATGAACAATATTTTCTGGCTATGACTAAATCTTTGTGTACTTAGACAACAACACAAGACACTGAATACCACCTCTCTCTCTCTCTCTCTCTCTCTCTCTCTCGTACACACACATATACATGCACACATACATACAAACATACGCACATACAGAAACACATATGCACTCCTACACACACTCCTACACACATATACATACAACTCATACAGACATACACTAAAATATTCTATTAATTTATGAATTTTATAGTCTGTCTCTCAAACATTTGTTAACACCTCTTTGCATTATCAGTAACTGTAAGAGCTGCTCCTGCACAGACAAGCAAAGATGAGCAAAAAGCCAAAAAATGACCCCCTCATATTTCTCAAATACAGACAAAAAGAACTCCAAAGTGAGCAATATTCAGATATGAAGACAAGGCCATCAGATAATGTGCAGTTCTTCCTTTTATGGGGAAAAACCATTATGGATGATGTTCCAGTGTTTGTGGCCATTTTACTAATCAGTTATATATATTTTGAAATTGGACTAATTATAAATTTTAAACTATATGAAATAGGTGAGATGTGGTTTGTTTCACTTTTGACTGACCATGGATCTAGATGCAGCTCTGGCACAGAACAAATTAAATTGTTACTAAAAATCAAGAACCAATATGCAAAAGTCACAATTAAGTGGCTTCCTTAGAGGCCACATCATAGGTACAGCTAGTGTGTGCTGAACAAGTGGGGTTCAACCTGGACTTTTCAATGTAACTACTGTGTAGCACTGACGGTACATCTGGACTGTCTTTCCTCATCAGAGAGGCCTTGACACTGAGTTGTCTCTAGAAACAAGCTGCAGCCTTGAATGATGGCAATCTGTTGAAGGTGCTGTCACCCCACAGGTCTGGCACACCCTGGCAGGAAAGGGCAGAAGCTAGCTAGAGATTCCCTACTGACCTTCCCTGGGGTGTAGGAGTGGAAAGCAAACCCCTGGGCTTTTTGGAATGGGTCCAATCTTAAGTAAATGGTTACATTTTTTATTTTTACATAAAAATTTACACATAAGTTTTGGAAAAATTCTGTTGTCAGTTCAGCTTTCCTGATTTTGAAATGTGTTCAAAGTAATCACACAGGCACACTCCTGTTATAGACAGAAGCTCAAAACCAGATTCAAGAGAAGCTCATAAACGCAACTGGAGTATAAAATGGAGCAGATACAACATGCCAAGGTATCATGGCAACATGGGCCAAACCCCTCATTGCTGCTACTACTTGTATATAGGAAAGGAATGCAAAATTTGCCCTAAATTAGGGTCTAATAAAAATTAGAAAGAATGTAGCAGAGGCACAAATAAATGCAGGGCCCCAATCACATAAAAACCATAAAACTGCAGAGTAGAGAGGGGACAGTAAAGGTCCTAGAGGAGGACTAAGACAGCAAAACAAAAGAAGAGAAATTCAGGGTGGTGGTAGGACAAAAAAAGAAGAAAAACAGAAAAGGGAAGGGGAGACAAAGGGGAAACACAGCTGGAAATTAGTGACATGGATCCTGCAGGTGCAGAAGATGCAGGACAAGCTGAATGAATCAAGTGGGACTGCACTGTGAAAAGTAAACAGAAGCCAGGAGAAACCCCAGGAGAGGAACCCCAAGAAAAATTTCACTAGAAAAAGCTGAAGTGGCAGCAAAGATAACATCTTTAAGGGAAATGATTCAGACTAGCAAAAGGAAGAAGCACAGTGGATAGAGAACGTCACAGACTGCCCACGAGTGGGAGAAAGGGACAGGATGACAGGGTGAGGTGACAGTTGAGCGTGCACTTTTGACTACTCGGAGGCCAGCATGGCACTTGACGGCTGCTCACAGACAGAACATGGACTTGAAAGCTGAACATGCAGAGGACATTCCATCTAACCCAAGGATGCAAAGCATAGTCCAAGTGCACTCTTCTCTAATGTTCTTCTCATAGAGTATGCCCACAGCTAACACAGGAAGAGAGGCAAAATGAAGGCTTAAAAAAAGCCACTTCATATGAGACGAGAAAGGAAAATCTATAGGAAGATTCTGAAAATGAATAAAACTGGGTTAGCATTTGTGTGTGTGTATAAAATAGTAAGATTAAAAAATGCTGGGCACTGGCCCACAAGAAACTGAATCTGATAAACATTTCCAAAAGGTTTGTTTCTGTGGTGCCCCACCCCCAAGTGCTGGGGAGAATAAAAGCAAGCATGGATGGCCCCTGCCTGTCAGTCCTGCGAGTACTTTCCATCCAGCAGAGTCAACAGGCAGAGACACCTGGAAAGCAAAGTCCTTAACTGGGAGGCAGGCGAGAAGAACATGTCCTACTTAAGGAACTTTGTGTTCTGAGACCTTGGGCCTGCCTTGGCTCTTGTATACAAAGAATAGACTGTATGAGATATTTCTGAAATTACTATTACTTGGAAAAAAATGTCCGAGTAGTATGCACATGTTGAGTAGGAAAATCAGAAAATGCATGGATTAAAATGAAAGCACTTAGCACAATCTCATCAACTGGATAACCAACATCTATGGATGCATATTGTTCAGTATTTTGTATGTATATAAACTATTTTATATTTACCTTCTAAATTTATCATATCTAGCTTTCATTTCCATAAAATAATTCCAACAGTAAATAATGAGCACATGTTATTATACATAAATGTTTTATAGTTTAATCACTTCTTTTTAATAGAGCAAAATCAACTGAAACCACCTTAAATGTTATAAAAGTCTCACAACATCTCTGTCCCTGAGCTGCCTCACTCTGTCAACTTTTCCATTAACAGTCAAACCAATGGACTGAGCCGGATATATTTTAGTCCATGCTTTGAGCATAAAGATTAAAAATTCCCCTGTTTTTTAAACACATCTGCTTGAAGGAGTAGCCATTTAAATGAGTCTTTCCATTGTCCTTGAATTTTTTTCTATAATAGATCCCTGAAGTACAACTGTCAGGTCAAAGGACATTTTTATTTTTGAGACAAGATTTCACTAAGTTGCCCAGACTGCCTTGAACTCTTGGGCTCAGTGATTCTCCCACCTTAGCCTCCTGAGTAACTGGGATTACAGGTAAGCTCTACCACACCTGCCTATGCAAGCATTTTGAAAACCACATATACACACACATATAGGGTTTATATTTACATAAACCTATTTATATAAATTTAAAAAACACTACTAAATTGTCTTCCATTAAGAATGGTTCCATTTTACAGTGGTATTAGCAGTTTAAGAGGTTAACCTACTTCCTTGTATATAAAAACTGTATTTCTTAAGTTTTGAAACTCGTTGCCATCTTGTGAGGAAAAAATACTATTTTATTTTGCTGTTTACCTTTCATTAATTTGATCACTATTAGGTAAACATTTCATATGTCTACTCAAAAAATATATTTATTCATTTGATAACATCCTGTGTATATTCTTTGCCAGTTTTCTTAGTGATAGATTTCTTTTTCTTGCTGACTTCTTAGAGTTTTATTTATAAAATGTTTTTACTTTTTAAAATAATACTTTTATTGATTCTTTCAGAATTTCATACAATGACTTTTGATCATATTCAGAGTGTTTCCCCCATCTCCTTTCAGATTCACCCCTACCTTCCTCCCCCTTCCCCCCCACTTCATGTCCTCTATTTTTTTTAAGATCTATGGAGACTATTGGCCCTATTTTTCTCCATTTTGACATGTATGATTTTAAAGTTTTTATTACGCAAATACAGGATCTGTTTAAAAGTGTTTTCAGCTGGGCACAGTGGCATGTGCCTATAGTCCCAGGTTCTTAGAAGCTAAGATGGGAACTGCTTGAGCCCAGGAGTTTGAGGTCAATCTAGGCAATGAAGTGAGACCTTGCTCTCCTCCCCCAACTAACACACACACACACACACACACACACACACACACACACGCACAACAACCCCCCCAAACAACAACAACAAAAACCAAGCAAACAAAAAAAATCCAAAACAAAACCAAAAACATCTTCTAATTCCAGCGTCATGATTGTTCAAAAGCCATTCCCAGGATTCTATCACTATTCATCTATGCTTTCTGTAGAGGTCCTTTTATTTTTTTTCCAAATTAAAAACATTCTGAAAACTTTGAATCTAACTCTAGAAAGTAACAAATTCATGTATGTGGATGATGAATAGGGCTATAACAGTTTGATTTCAACAAACTTCATCTCTACCTACAGAGAAAACAGTCTCCAGACAGCACTTCCTACAACTCATCATGCCCACCTACCTGCTGTGAGAACACTTTCAAACACATTTCTCACTAGTCTGTCTCAGAGGTAAATGTTGTCCACCTGTCCAGTTTCATCAGGACCCAGGGATTATCCCACACTTTGAGGGCTCCTTCACAAGTGGCTCTAGCCTCTCAGTTCGTAAATATGCTTGCTATTCCTTTGTAAAGCTCTCCACATCCCTAGTTTTCTACTAGTTACTGCCTAGTCTTTTCTCTGTTTTACAGCCCAGATTTTTGTAGTAAGACTGCTCGGTGATCTATCCTTTGAGACTGAAGACAATCTAATTGATCCTTCCAGGACTTTCCATCAACACTGACTTCTCCAAGGTCACAAATGGCCTCTTGACTGGAAATCCCAAAGGGCCCTCATCAGTGCTTATGTTAGCTGTCCTCTCTCTGGCATCTTCACTGTTGACCAGGTCTTCCAAAGACTTCGCCTGCTGATTCTATAACTTTTCCGTAATTTTCTCTTACCTCTATCAGGGTGACTTTTCGGCCTGTTGGCTCATTTTTCTTCGCCTGCATATCTGCTTTGTGTGCCCGGTCCTCCCGATTCTGTTCTTTGCCCTTTTCAGAACTACAGGAAGGAAAGATCAGAAAAAAGAAGCCAGTAAGAAAGCTGCAGTAGCACGTTAGGTGAGGGAAGGGATAGCGGGACTCAACGGATTGAACGGAAGTAAATGGGAGGATCTGAGACAGAAAAAACATTTGGCAGAACTACAAGTAGGATTATCCATGGGAGTGAGAGAGATCATTGCTCTAGCTTAACCATGCTAAAGGGACAAGAATAAAACAAATTCTGTCTGAAAAATACCAGATGCCTGAGAAAACCCAGAAAATTTTATCAGCACAGATGGAAACATACACATAAATATACACAATATTTCTTAATAACAAAGAAAAGAGTAAAGCAGGTTCACGAAAGTTTAACATACCAACCTGAGGAATGGGCAAGGAATGCAGCATTCTCAAAAACTTAATGGCAACAGCAAAATATAAATCATTGTATATCGTAGCAAACTATGTTAGGAAAAGAATACACAACAAAAAGAGAAAACTGAAGAACTAGCAGACTGAATCTTCTCTCTAGGGCATACAGGAATGCTGGAAATTCCTACGGGTAGGGTCCTAATTGGATAAGACCAGTGTCCTTAGACAAAGAGAATAAGATACCAGAAGGTGCTTGTATGTAAGCACATGCACACACATGCTTTTCACATGTGCACAGAGGCCACATGAGGACACAGTTAGAAGGCAGCCACCTCCAAGTCAGAAGGAAAGGTCGTATTGAGACTATCTAATGTACTCTCAAAACCTAGTAATAAGTGGGCTGGTGGGATGGCTCAGCAGGTAAAGGTGCATACTGCCAAGCCTGACAAACTGAGTTTGATTCCTAGAACCTACATGGTGGAAGGAGAGAACCGATTACTCAAAGGTCTCCTCTGACCTCCACATATGCCACAATATACACATAGTGCCTCCCTCCAAATAAATAAATAAATAAATAAATAAATAAATAAATAAACACAAAAAATATTTTAAGCATTATATGGGTAAAACATTTGAACAGGTATTTATTTCACCAAAGAAAATATATACATATATGACATAAAATGATGCATGACATCATTGGCTGTTAGAGGCAGGGATATATAAATTATGACATGAGATAAATCTTGGATTAGAATGGCCAAAATGATGAAGACTGAGAATATCAAGCACTGGTGAGAAAGTGGAACCCATGCATACTGGCAAGCCTGGGAAATGAACAACCATCCAGAAAAATATACAGAAATAATTCTGACCATTCCACTTCTACTTATTTACCCAAGAAAAGTGAATACAAATGTCTCTACGAAGACTTGTACCCAAATTCTGGTCTTAGCTATATTTATAGTGGCCCCAAACTTCAGAAAACTCAAAGACCTATTAGCAGGTAATAAATAAATGAATTGTGGTGTTTAAAACTCTAGAAAGAGAGAAGTCTTGATTGTCAAGGGCTGGAAGTTAAGAGAATGGAAGAGACAGGAGGAGGAAATTGTAAAAAGAAAATAAGAAATTTCTTAAGTGATGGCTCATGGGTACCTACTTTTCTTAAAACCTAGATGTATACTGTTAAGTATGTGTAATTTATTATACATCAAGTATATGTCACTAAAAGTGCTACAAACCTAGGTATACATAAAATTTGACTTAAAAATACGTGTGTGTGTGTGTGTGTGTGTGTGTTTGTACATGCATATATAGACCCGTGGGTGCACATGGAGGTCAGGATGTAGCCTTGGATGTCATCCATAGGAACACTGTCCATTTCCTTTGACACATGGTCTCTCATTGACCTGAGCTCATCAATTAGGCTAAACTGACAGGCCAGCAAGCCCCAGGCATCCTTCCTCTCCACCTCCCCAGCACTGGGATTATAGACTTGAGCTACCATGTTCAACATTTTTAAAAAATATATTTGTTATTTTTATTTTGTGTGTATGGGTGTATTGCCTGCAAGTGTGTAAGTGCACCCATGTCGTGCAATGCCTGCTGAGGTTAGAAAAGGGTGCTGGATCCTCTGGAACTGGAGTTACAGATGGTTGTTAGCCTCCGTGTAGGTGCAGAATTGATACTGCATCCTCTGCAAGAGAAACCAGGGCTCTTAATTCCTGAGCCATCTCTCCAGCCCCATGTTTTTATGTAGGTTCTAGGGACTGAACTCAGGTCCTCATACTATGAGGTAAGCACTTACTGGCTGAGATCTCTCCCTAGACTAAAACCTGATCCTTTTTCAGTAACTTGATTGCTGTATACTTTTTCTAGGCATCATCAAACCTCATCTTGAATATTACCTTAAGTAGTCTTTCTGGTTTCATCTTCAATCCATTAATATGTATCCAGAGTAGTGCTGTTAAAATTTAAGTCACCTTCTCTGTTTAATGGCTCCCTATTTCACTTAGAGTAAAACCCAAAAGTATTATGATGCTTTACAAGGTCTTCCTCCTCACTCTGATCTTATCCACTCTCTCCCAAATACACTGTTTATTGCAGAAACTCCAACCTTTTCCTTACTGTTCCTTTAGGATGCCAGGTATGCTGCTGTCTAAGCTCCTGGGCCTCAGGGCTTTCTGTACCTGCCCCTGACATAAACATATTAGTCATGTTCATTTCTCTGCACTCTACAACAGGCCTAGTGTAGAGGCTCATGTTTTTTATCCCAGCCCCGCGGGGGGCTGAGGCAGAAGGAACACTCATGAGTCCAAGCCAGCTTAGGATACAGAGCAAGACCTTGACTGAAACAAAAACACCAACAACACAACACAAAACTTGCAACCATCACACTTCCCTGCTCTATTTCCTACTCACATTCATTTTCTCCACAGCACAGCACAATTTGACAGATACTTTGCACACAAGAAAGTAAGATGGCAGCTCATGAGGTAAGGATTTTTATCTCATTACTATGTCCTCAGTACCTAGAACATTCTAGGTATTTATGTGCCCAACAAAATATTATTTAGACGATGACTTTGCAGTGTGTCTCTTCTTTGGCCACAATGGGTACACTCATAAAACATACACCATATATCATTTGTTAGTGCACTTCAGTACCTAGCACAGCACCTACCGCAGAGAGCACAGGCAAAATAAGTCTCCAAATTGGCCGATGCTCACCAGTGAACTACTGAAGCTCAGCTGGAAAGGCTGCAGGAGCAACAAGGTCTGACAGGACCAAAATGATACAAATGACTGTTCAGGTCCATGTAAAATGCTAGGCAAACACATCAAACCGTGCCTCTTAGTCTCACTTTCTAATCATATGCTGCTCCAAGGTCTCTGATCCCACATTCTTCAAGAATAATAATCTCTAGCTAGTCTTCTTTTTTCTTCACTACAAATTTCCAACTCCATCAGTGGATAAAGCACTTGCTGATAAAAGTGAGGACTGGACTCTGCACTCCCAGCTCCCACATATAACTTGGTGAGGCACAGGAGCCTGCCTGTAATCCCAGTCCTTCAGAGACAGAGATAGGGAATCTCTGGGGCAAGATGGCTATCCAGACTAGTTGAATTGGGCAAGTTCCAGGTTCAGCAAAGACCCTGACTCAGTAAATAGTAGAGGGTGATGGAGGAAGACATCAGACATCAACTTCTGGCCTACACACACACACACACACATGCACCTTGTACACATGTGCATTCACATATATACAAACATGTACAAACATGCACACCACATACACATGCAAGAAGAAAAACAGACAAGAACCTCAAGTGGAAAACAGTAAGAACGGTCTATATATGTGCTCATTTGAGTTAGCTAACTAATATGCAAATGGTCCAAATGGAAAGGCAGAGCTGTAAGGAAACAAGAAAATGAGTCCCTTTTCATTTACTTGGGTGCAGTGAACTTGTTAGAGTAAATTAAAGAAATGATGAAATAACCTTCTTCCTACATACTGGGCAAATGTTTCCACCATGAACTCGCCTATAGTTTTCAAGTCATGAGAAAAATCTATACAGCTTTCAATTTATGAGAAAAATCCATCTTTACTGGCCTAGGAAGTTGTAAGTGTAGGGAAAGTCCAAAGGCCTTAGCTGAAACTTGAGGATTTGGATACATCTGAGCATCTCTCTCTCTCTCTCTCTCTCTCTCTCTCTCTCTCTCTCTCCTTTTTTTCAGTACTAGAGATTGAACCCAGTGCTTTCCACATACAAGGCAAATGCTCTACCAATGATTTATATCCCTATCAAAGACTGGGCCTCTTTTTATTTTATGTGTATGAGTATATTGCCTGCATGTATGTGAATGCTCCCATGATGTGCAATGCTGCAGAGGTCAGAAGAGGGCTTCGGATTCCCCTGGAACTGGAGTTAAGGATGGTTTGTAGCTGCCATGTGGGGTGCTGGGAATCGAACCCGGGTCTTCTGCAAGAGCAGTCACTGCTCTTAACTGCTGAGCCATCTCTCCAGCCCCTACAGGTTCTTAAGTGCTCTAAATGCAATGGAAGAAGCTGAGTCACCCAGACAGCCTTCAGAATTCAAGTGTCTGTGAAGCTTACTGAACTTGAATCTGAAGGGTACAGGGTATATCTGTGTATCACCTGAAGCAGCTATCCAATGTGTGGCTGATATTCATTCATTTCTATAATATTTATTAAATAGTTGTAAAAATTTTTTTTATAAAACATGCAAATTCCTAGGAATCAGTGATGTTATATTTGCTATACTACTATGTAAAATCTCAACAAAATGAAAGAAAACCCAAAACCCAACCATGCTTGCTAGACAGAAACAAAAGCCTGCACGGCCTGTGTGCAGGTACCAAGGGACAGGTGGAGGGAAAGCATGGGAAGAAGAGCAGACAGGAACCGGAGGGTCAGCTCTTGCTTGGGTCTGCATCATGCCATGTACAGGGACCCAGCAGGAGCCTTTTTAAATCTCATTTCTCCATTGGCAAAGGAACGGTCAGAATACTGGACTGGGGATACTGTGAGGATAAATATGTTAATGTGGTAAAATGTGCCCTGGAGCTATATGTGGCCATAAAATTACTGCTAGAGCTCATTTATCAAAAAAGGAGCGACACCTTCCCATAGAACTTGGGACACTGAATCTAGCTGAAAGAGAAACAAGCAACCCCAGTGGTCAGGAGTTGGGAGTCTTGGTTCAGGTATTGACAAATACACCCTGTGAAATTAGCACAAAGCCTTCTCCTTGGTTTTCTCGACTATAAAATCAGAGAGGCTGTGGAAAGAATTATAGGGTATCTTTCAGATCATGATTCCAAGGCTCTTTTAAAGTCTAGCTGAAAATTATGTCTTTCATCTGTGGAATGAGATGCTGTCTTATACCATATTGTACAGCTTTATTTGATAATTCCTATAAATTACTGTCATAGGAATCAGAATTTTTGAAGTAGAAGAGGCAAATTATTCTTCAAACTGTGAAAGCATATAGCATATCTTAACTTGAAATAATATTTTCCTGAAGGAAACCCAGCAGGTGTCTGTGTGCACATGTGTGAAGCAGGCACCTACATGAGAGGGAACAGTAACACCCATGCCATTCATGTTTGTTAAACTCATGCTCCGCTGGTGATAGAGTGCAAATATACAGTGACAATGCTCTGGGTATTGGATTTTTTTCCCCTTTAAAGCCTCAAAGTAGACATTTCATAATTTAATTTTACCAAATTATTCACTTGTTTTCAGTTAATATTATTTCAAAATATTACTCAAATGAAAGTCAATGAAAAAATAAGACCTTTAAAGTTTACTGTAACAATTTTATTTAATATTATTTCTATGGCTTCATAACAGTCTTAAAGTATTTTGAGAATGAATGGTCTGAAATTCAACTTGTAATATGACCATTGTTATAAAAAAATGATATGAACAAATCATCTCTAAAAGAAAAAAAAAAACCCCACAACTATTTATCACTGCAAATTATCTAGAAGAAGTTACTTACTGTGTCAGGGTCTGTGAGCTGAGTCTGAAATCTTGGGACTTGTCCTTACTGACTGACTGCTGTGAAGAAGGAGAGAAGAACAAGCAGTAAGGCACACAGAAGAGAAGTCAGCACAGTCAATACGCATACCATGTCCCCCACGGTGAGGCGAGAACACGCTGGTTCTGAACAAGAATGTCTATGCCCATCTCGATCTGGATGCTTAGCACAGTAACATACTCACTCCGACAGAAAACAAGGAAACAGTTCTTCACATAGTTTAAACGCTCTGTACAAACAACGTCAGATTTCAGATATGTGGTACCAGGAAAAAAAAAAAAACTCCACAACACAAAAAGAGGGGTTGTTTATCGGCTTCATCTAATACTAAGGTGTGCAACTTTAGCCCTCCGTGGATCACTGTCTCTTCTCTTTATATTCTTTTCAGTGGTTCCATATTTTTTTATAGTGGGGCTCAGCTGAACTGAATGCAAGATTCTGAACTTGAACAGTAAATCTTTTACAAATTTATTCAGCATATCTTATTTTATGAATTGGTAACCTTGACAAAAAAAATCTAAGCACTTTCAAAGGTACTAAATTATACGCCAAGTACTTGTTAGATACTTCCTCTAGAATCTGAAGCATTAGCTCCAGCCCAACGTATACTGGAGAAATGGTGTTTAATGTGACACATAATACTGCATAAATCAACCCAATGCTGCTATAAAATAGACTGCAAGTCGTTTTTAGAGATAATTAGATGTTGCAGAAAGCATCCATTTGATATTCAAAATAAAACATACTGGTCTTAAAGTGTTGAATGATATATAATGAAAGATATATATATCTTATATATATATACACACACAATTATTTAAATTAAAACAATTCCGCAAACAAAACAAAAAAAAGAAAAAAAAAAAAGGAAGGAAGGAAGGCATGCAGCCTTCTCTTTCATCCTGCTGCAGTGATCCTAAGCTCCCAGTGCTACATTAGCTGAGGCCTTGCTTTGCCTTTCTTTACAGTTCCTCCTCATAATCAGACTTCAGCAAGATTATGGCTCAGCAAGATTTGGTTCCAAGTATCTTTATTCAAGTACTACCGTGCTTATCATGAAGATTTTAAGACAATATCATGCTTTTCTGGACTATAGTTATGAGTTCATTATTGTTAGCTGGATAGCTTTAAATCAAGGATTTAACAAAGATGAAAAATAGAGAATGACAAGACAGGAGTGAAAGGTGGGTGCTGTATCAAGTGACCCCAACGACAAAAGAACTAATGACACCTTGATTTTTCTTTACCACTGAAGTTGATGAGACTCAGTTACAATGTACTGAGAAAAAAGTATATACCCACGGACAATTCTGAATTCAAGGACTAATTCAGATTGCCAAATACTTTACCTGCCCTAACCCAATAGGTCAACAAGCAAAGAAAAGTAGCAAAACCTAACTTAGCATTAATCCTTACAAGATATTACTAGTTTCTTTATAAGCTTTTTTTTTGTCTTTTTGAGACAGGGTCTCCCTGTAGCCCCAGCTGTCCTGGAACTCACTATGTAGACCAGGCTGGCCTTGAACTCACAGAGATCCACCTGCCTCTGCCTCCCAGTGCTGGGATTAAAGGCGTGCGCCACCACGCCCGGCTTCTTTATAAGTTTTTAAATTCCAAAAACAATAATCAAAGATAAGATTTGAATTTTTTATTCTATACATGGTCTAAGCATTATTTCTATCTCTTTGCCCAAGGGAGGCAAGCATCTTACAAAAATACCTGTATGCTTATAAAACTTGGCAAAATGACTGGATTTTTTAAAGGGGAACTGGCCATGCAGCTCTAATCATAGATTCTCATCAATCTGTACCTATTCTGGAGCTGAAAAGAGAAATCAGACTAAGTCTACTATTAAGCCAGTGTTGCCATGTGTAGATCTTAGCAATCCTGTTCTTCATAGAGTCTGCTCATTTGAACAGGATGCTAAGATGTCCTCAGAAAGTTTATCTGAAGTAGGCATGTGGTACCAGGAAAAAAAAAACAACTCCACAACACAAAAAGACGGGTTGTTTATCGGCTTCATCTAATACTAAGGTGTGCAACTTCAGCTCTCCGTGTATCACTGTCTCTTCTCTTTATATTCTTTTCAGTGTATCCATATTTTTTTATAGTGGGGCTCAGCTGAACTGAATGCAAGATTCTGAACTTGAACAGTAAATCTTTTACAAATTTGTTCAGCATATCTTATTTTATGAATGGTAACCTTGACAAAAAAAATCTAAGCATATACATATATGAGAAACAGTCAAAGAACAAATTTAATGAAATAGTTAAAAAAATAAAACATTATTGGCCATGCCACATTTCCTATTACATCATTACAGGACTGTCACTGGCACACCTGTTTGTGTGTGTGTGTGTGTGTGTGTGTGTGTGTGTGTGTGTGTGTGTTTAATGATGCAAAGTGGCTTGGCCTATGTTCAAATCCTATAAATCTCAAGTTAGCAGGGAACCCGTATTTCAGTGTTTTTACACTTATTCGAAAAGGACACTTATTTAATAAGTCTAATACTTCACTCTAAACACCTTTACTCACTCATTCCTTGGTCTCAGCAGCAGCAGCCATATGGGTAGTGACTCATGGAGGCAGTAGGAGGGGGAAGAAGGAGTTGTCTCTGTGAGCTGTTTTATCTTTAAACAGAAGCCCCCAAGGCTGGAATGCAATCAGCCCATAAACACCCCCCACCATCAACAAGCCAAGGAGCATGACTGCCCTTCTTTCCCTCCTTTCCACACACACCTCTCAGATGTTTTGTGACTTCATTTCCTCTTCATGGATACCCTTGATTTGGAGAGGAGGGGATGAAGAGAGGAAGATGAGCAAAGCGAGGATGAGGAATGGAAGGACCAGAATCTAGAGACTCCTGCTTCCCAAACCCTCACAACTTCTTTGGGATGATTTTCAATTTGGAATGCAATGAGGCTTAAATATGAAAGGAATGATTAATGGAATGATTTAAAATGATACCACTGATTATGTGGAGAATTATCAAGAAGAAAACAATTCATAACAACTTTGTAAAAGAGAAATGGGCCATGCAAACAACTCACCGGATAGAAATACTTCTATAAATATAAACTTGAAGAATGAATGTAAAATCAGGTAAGTGTTCATTCAATGTACATTGTAGCTAGCACACTAGCAAATAATTAATTAAATAAGACAAATTTAAGATACAGTATAGTTTTATTCTTACATGCTAATTATGTACTCACTGATATATTTACCTTGTCCAAATAATATTTACAGTTTCTTCATCTCTACTTTGTGGGATTTTTTTCTTTTTAGAAAAGGAATTCAAGAGAGGAAAAATGCCAATGAGGGTTTGGTGGTTAAATTCTAGTCTTGGTTCTGTCATGAAATCTGTGTAGTTGGAGTCAGTCACGTAACCTCTCTTAGTTTTTTGTTTGTTTGTTTGTTTACTTGAAAAGGAATAGAGGGCTCAGAATAAAACCTAAGCTACCAGAGCACCATTCTCTTATTTTTACAGATGAGGAAATGGAGGCCCAGAGTCACCAGAGATACACAAGTAGTTGGAGGCTACACCAATGTTCTTAAGACTGATTTGTCAGCAAAACTAATTTTCAATACAATTTTGCTTGAAAGCCTCACGTTTAAACATGTAGAAGTAGAATCATTCTGGGTAAAACTAGGTTTGTATGGCCCGGCATACCCTGCCATAGGTCTAGATCCCAGCTTCTTAAACTGTCAGTCAACAGGTCTGTGACTAAATGTATGGCTGTGAAAAATTTGGAAACAGTATAAAGTTTCTTAATAATTAAAAGTAAAATATGTAACAAGTCTGAGACATTTCTGGCAGCACTTGCCTATGTATCATGCAACTTCACAGCAGCCTTCATTCTGAATACATCACTTAAACACTACACTATGTATGCCATCATGCCATGTAATAGCAGCAAATGCTGCCTAAACACAGTTCAGATTTGCTGTAATTGTGTTATGAACTACAGTGTTTTTACTATACACACAGTTTTCTACACTACAGAAACATAGTGGTTTAATTACAGAAAACAAACAATACTTTCATAGAGTCATTTTTCAGTATGCATCAAATTAGTATATCTTTGGATTGTATTATGTTATAATGTTGGATTTTAAAAACTGCTGTTTGAGTTTTATTTTTAAAAATTGCTAAATAAATTTTAGCTTGGGATAAAAACAGACTTTCCAGCAATTTTTGAAATGGCTCTAGATACTTCTGCCATGTTATATTAAGTATCTATGCAAAGCTCTGGTGGTAGAGGAAATATTCTCAAAGAGAGGTATTGTGCCCTTCCCTCTAGCTATTAAACCATCACCTTTTTTTTTTTTTCATTTACAAACTAGTATGTTTAACAGGCATGTAGGAGTCAAGCTGGAAGCTGACCTCCAGAGAAAACCTCCAAAGGGCTCTCACTCCATATCTATCAAAGAATGGACTTAGGAACAAGGAACTCTGCAAGGCTAGAAATGAGTGGGTGTCTTACATCCTCTCTCCTAAACCTTTTTCTTTCCAAAACAGGGTACCTTTAAGAATCTATGTTCCTCTGCTGACAAAATTCTGTAACCCAGAACAGACACAATAGAGACCACCTAGGTTAACCTGTCCCATGGCCACACTGAAACACATTCTGGTCTTCTTCTACACTCAAAGATGGCCCAGGCATGGTGGAGAGGAAGCTAGACTTTCTTCTCACCCTGGTTTGGCCAAACTAAATAAAATAAGAGTTCTTTACCAATTTCTATTTCCTAATTTCTTTGGAGTACAGGAAAACTGAGGCAGTGGGTTTACGGACATGAATGCCTTACAACACTGCTTCTACCAGTGTTTCTAATTTTCTAGAGTAAGTATTTTGGTAGGGGTATTTGTCATAGTTTGGATCTAAACCAACCCCAACAGTGCATTCATATACAGATGGATGTGTAATTTAATGGCATTATGGGGATATAGTGGAAGCTAGGAGGTTGGGTTCTCAGTGGAGAACTAGATCACTGGGGGCATGCCTTAGAAGAGTATAT